TCATATTGAGGTTCGAATTCGACCTCGGGTTTTAGTATTCATACGAATGACATCAACGTTCGGACTCGACCTTGGGTTTTGGTGCCGCGTATTCAGGGTTCGTACTTGACCTTGATTAAAAGCGAGATAGATTGTGCCGAATTTCGAATTCGACCTCGGTGTAAAGTGAAATAGGTAGTGTTAAGGTTCGGACTCGACCTGTGTTTAGTGTGAAACATAAAATGATGCGACTAAAAAGGAATATGATGCGCTGGGAAGATCTCAGCCTAGTCGAGATCCGCTATCTAATTAGATCATAACTGATCTCAGGCCCAAGGCCCAACGCAACCCTAATTCACACCAAGGTATGTGCATTACTTATACGAGACTCATACTCATACAAACCCTAACTTTGGCATCGAAGTCTCTTTTGCAGGTACCACCCCTATCCTGGAGCATCAATGTACCAGCGAAGGAGGCTCACCGATCTTACCTAGTGGATCATCTCTACAACAGATCTCCGGTAAGAACAGATTCCAAGAAATGTATGAATGAATATGACATTGAAGTCAAGTTTAAGGAAGCTTGGACCAAGTTGATTACAAAGTACAATGTTCAAGAAAATAATTGGATTAAATCAATTTATGGTGTAAAAGCAAAATAGGTCTCTTGATACACAAAGGAAGCATTTACACTTGAGATGAGACATACCCAGTCAATTAGTGAGAAATTAAATTCTCATTCAAAAGCATGTATGGAGCCAAATGTTGATATAAAATAATTCTTTAGACACTTTGAATGAGTTATTGAGGAGTGGAACTATGGTTTTTCTTTATCATTTTGAATTAACTCATAATGGGGCATAAGAGCATGAGCCAAGTTGGTATCTTCTAGTACACTGAGAATGACAAATTTTCCTATTCATAGATTTGAATTGGAAGTATTGAAGGTTGTAAAAAGCATAATTAACATGAATGAAAGGTTTACACAAGTAAAGGTTGTCTTTTTACTAGAGCATGCTAAATTTGCATGACTGATACCGATACATTAAACCTAAAATATAGAACTTCTGTTACAAAGGACATGATTAGGAAAAAAACATTAACACATTGTATATGTGTGATGCATGTAACTAAGTAATAAAACCTCATTGATACAAAATTCTTATCTCAAACAACTTAAAAACTCAATTCAACATACTAATTAGACAATTCCCTTATTTGGAACGATTTGTTTAATATATCTTATTATACAACATCACTATATTCCACCTTTATCAAATTTAAATTTCAAGCAGAAAACATTCAAGGTAATTGAATAACTAGAATTTTAGCACTAAATGAAATTACTAGGATTCTTTCAAGGAGACACATAAAATGAAGGACCGTCTTCTTTCGAAATATTGTGCCTCCAAAATGAAGAAAGGGCACTATCCCAAATCATATTAGGGTTCTTTAGGAGCACAAGAGACATAGGTTACTCTCACATTTGGAAAGTTGGACATTTTTTAGAAATTACTACTAAACTATAACAAAAAAAAATATTAAATAAATTTAAAAATTCAAAAGGTAACCAATAAATGATCCTATCAGATTGTTTGTTTTTACTAATATTCAATAATGATGACAACATTGTCCACAAGTGAAACACTTCAATTTAATGTACATTTGTGTTAGTCCACCAGAGAACTACGTACACAAGGATCATGGTAAAATTTGCCTAATTTTTAAATTACAAATTTATTATTTTTTATGATAATTATAATGAAGTTGGATCCATCTTCCTCATTTAGTAATGTAAAAATTAGTACATTTTATAGCAATGTGTAATTTGATTTCTCCTTTCGATATATGTATAATCTATAATTATAATAAAGGAAATTTGACTTTTTAGTTTACACAATTTTTATCCTATCTTATTCCTCTAACTACTCCTTTATAAATCATAACTTTTTGTCCTTTTTGAAACGCCACCTCATAACTATTCATATTTTCAATTAATCACTCATTAGTATATAATTTTTATTATTTTTAAAAGTTTCACGGAGACACATGATACCTTTTACACAATAATATATTATAAAAATATTAAAGCGATGTTTTTATTACTGTCCATACTATTTTTTTTCCCGGTCAATCTCCCTTATTACTAAATAACCAACATTTTGTCTAATTCTTTATATAAAACCAGGAGAAAAGAGGTTATTTTTAAAAAAATAAAAATAAAATAAATAAAAAGAGATAATGGAATGTTAGATTATCAAAGACATTGAGAGGGTGTGAAAATCGTTTCTCGTTGTAAATTGAAGGAGAATGATACTTATTATAAAAATAAATGAATAAGTGTTGATTTTTTATTTTCTTTTCCCTTAATAATTGAGGAGTATAATATTCTAACAAAATATAAGAATTAAAGATAATTAAAATAAGTATTTTCTTTGTATAATGGTTAAAAAAAATATAGATGTACTAGCTATAATTTTGGATTTTGTAGCTTCTTAAAATACAATGATCAAACTTCAATTCCATTTTACTTTCATGATGGTTAAACAACACAACTTCCGATATACCACGAGTTAATAATTAATTTTAAAATAAATTATCAATAAATAAAAATATTTTTCTACAATATAAATTATTTATTATAAATTAAAATTAAAAATATTTTTATATAATTTTAAATATAATTTATATATTCAAACATTTTATATATATATATATAATTTATTATAAATTTTAATCATATAAATAAATATGTATGAAGATTGCACTAAATACTAGAATACTTTGTTATTTTTTTAAAATTAAAAGTTACCATGAGTGAAATTTTTACTTAAATAATATTTTTTTTAAAAAAATTACAAAAGTATCAACTGTGCAGGTTTATTTACCAATGTAGAACTGTTTACTGTTCATGCTCAGAATTCGGTTCCCGGAGAACCGAATTCTGAGCTTCAAAATCTTATTTTTTTTTGTTTTTTCAACTCAGAATTCGGTTCCCGGGGAACCGAATTCTGAGTTATTTTAAATTTTTTTTTCTTCGTATTTCTGGCCTATTTTGGGCAAATTTTGGAAGTGGAATGGCCCGTTCCGTAAGCAGAACGGGTCGTTCTGCTTAAAGACACAGAGACCTTTTTTTTTTTAAATTAAAACGGGCCCAGAACGGCCCGTTCCAGAGTAAAATTTTTAACATGTTTTTGAATCTGGAACGGCCATGGAACGGCCCGTTCCGGACGACGTTTTCAGGAAGTAGACCTTGGTTTGGAACGGGTCGTTCTGGTTTTGGAACGGGTCGTTCTGGTTTTGGAACGGCTCGTTCTGAGCAAACAGTAAAAAAAGATTATATTTTTTATTTTTTATTTAAAAAATAATAATAATAAAGTTAACAAAAATTATAATAATATCAATTAATCAGGATTCAATTTGATAGTGAAATGTGATAATTTGACCCTTAATTTTTTAAATTTAATTTATAACAAAATATATTATTTTAATAAAATTGATTGAATAGTTAAAATTTTATCCGATAATTATATTGTTGGAGAGAATATATTCCCTATAGTTCAGGGATAATTGTACGTTTTAAGCGCAAGATATTATCTTAAGTGATTGTTTAAATATATTATTTTAATAAAATTGATTGAATAGTTAAAATTTTATCCGATAATTATATTGTCGGAGAGAATATATTCCCTATAGTTCAGGGATAATTGTACGTTTTAAACGCAAGATATTATCTTAAGTGATTGTCTAAATATATTATTTTAATAAAATTGATTGAATAGTTAAAATTTTATCCGATAATTATAGTCGGAGAGAATATATTCCCTATAGTTCAGGGATAATTGTACGTTTTAAACGCAAGATATTATCTTAAGTGATTGTCTAAATATATTATTTTAATAAAATTGATTGAATAGTTAAAATTTTATCCGATAATTATAGTCGGAGAGAATATATTCCCTATAGTTCAGGGATAATTGTACGTTTTAAACGCCAGATATTATCTTAAGTGATTGTCTAAATATATTATTTATAGCTGATATTAAATGTTTCTTAACTTCTAAACATTAATATTAAATATTATTTCATGAATCCTGATTAATTGATATTATTATAATTTTTATGTTAATTTTATTATTTTTATTTAAAATAAAAAATAAAAAATTTAATCTTTTTTTTACTATTTGCCCAGAACGGGCCGTTCCAAAACCAGAACGGCCCGTTCCAAACCAAGGTCTACTTCCTGAAAACGTTCTCCGGAACGGGCCGTTCCATGCCGTTCCAGATTCAAAAACATGTTAAAATATTTACTCTGGAACGGGCCGTTCTGGGCCCGTTTTAATTTAAAAAAAAGGCCTCTGTGTCTTTAAGCAGAACGACCCGTTCTGCTTACGGAACGGGCCGTTCCACTTCCAAAATTTGCCCAAAATGGGCCAGAAACACGAAATTTTTTTTTTTATAAATAATTCAGAATTCGGTTCCCCGGGAACCGAATTCTGAGTTGAAAAAACAAAAAAAAATAAGATTTTGAAGCTCAGAATTCGGTTCCCGGAGAACCGAATTCTGAGCATGAACAGTAAACAGTTCTACATTGGTAAATAAACCTGCACAGTTGATATTTTTGTAATTTTAAAAAAAAAAAATATTATTTAAGTAAAAATTTCTACCATGAGTAGAGTACACACACTTGCCCGTTGCGCGCCAAAAGAAACTAACAATAACGAACACTTATTCGTGGACCCCCACCTAAGCAGAAACTCTCTCTCGCAACTGCAACCGTCACTGCACAGTGCAATCTGTTCAAGAAGGAAACAACACCAAGCTCGCTCACAAGTGTAAACCAAGATTCAGAATCAGGTAAGAAAATCCATTCATCGATCATTCAAAACCTTATATAAGCTTCTTTTTTTTTTTTCTTTTTTTTTTATAACTATTACTGTTATTTTTCTTGAAGCTTGAATTCTTTTTCTCTTCTTGTAGTTTAACTCAAATCGATTCGATTTTGTGTTTGGGAACCGATAAAGAAATGGTTTCCATCTACGTGTACGTAAATCTTGCCGTCGTTGTTTTCTCGGCAACTTTGGTTTCTCGGTGTTTCGCATTCACGGATCCCGCTGACGGTAATTTAGAAAACTGGTTTCGTTCTTGATCATTCTTGTACAGTTCTAGGTTAATCTTTCGTTGAAAATTATAGAAAATTGATAATAATGTTTGGTTGTTGATGAAATAGAGGCGGTATGCGAATTCAATGTGCATTTTCTTCGAATCTAATCAGTTTTAAGAAACCTTTGGAGGAAATTATGCGTTTTAGGATTCGGAGATTGTGGTGCAGATTGTGTCTCTTCGTTCTGAATGCTTATTCAGAGATTGAATGCTACGCTTAATACATGGTTTCATGCTTTTTATGTTAGTCTTCATTGAGATTTTCTCAGGTGTTTTGGTTTCAGCCTTTAGCTTTGTATTATATGATTTTGTTAGTATATTCAAAACTCTTTTCTTGAATTCATATTGAAGGTGAAGATTGGTGAGGGTTGTGTTTGTAAAAACGAAGTATTTACTCGAATTATTGAACTCGTTTTGGTGTAGCGAACACTTCGCGTAGCTTAGTGCTCTCACTAAACTATGTATTTTTTGTGATTTTTGTATAAACAGTCACAGCTCTCCAGGATCTATACAGGGCCTTAAACAACCCACAAGTGCTGCATCGATGGGACGGTGATGATCCTTGTGAGGAATCTTGGAAAGGAGTAGCATGTTCTGGCTCATCAGTTATACACCTGTAATGCACTGACTCTGTTGTAGACACTTCCATTTTCAGATTGTTGTATCACTAATAAATAAACCTAATACCTATTATACCTACCCTCCTCTTGATGCAGCAAAATTCAAGGTTTAAACCTTACCGGGTTTCTTGGAGGTTTGCTTTATAATCTGCAAAACTTAAAGCAACTGTAAGTAATTCTATACTTTAAGTTCTTATTGCGAAAGATCTGTCATTTACTTCCATATTCTGGTTTCTTTAGTGATGTCAGTTCTAACAGCATAGAGGGTGAAATACCACAAGGTTTACCCCCCAATGCCACACACATGTAAGCCTACTGTTCTGTTCCTTTTGTTTCTGTGTGACTATGTTCTATATGCTTGCTGGTTAAGTATACCTGTATCTTCAGCAGTGTATTTTTCTGACAATTTTTTCTGTTTCAGAAACATGGCTTGCAACTATTTGAGCCAAAATATCCCCCATTCATTGCCAACCATGGAAAAGCTAAGGCATCTGTGAGTTATATTACATTAGTATTGATTTTAGCCTAAGCTTGATAGATGACATAAACAATAGAAATATAGAATGCTCTTGACCAATAAGTCCATTGACTTGCTTTCTTTATGTTTCCTTATCTCTGTTGATTGGTATAGTGTTTTGAGTTTTACAAATGGCTGTAAATCATCACCTCTTGTCATGCAGGAATTTAAGCCACAATTTCTTGTCTGGACCCATTGGCAATGTGTTTACTGGCTTAGATAATCTCAAAGAAATGTATGTCTTCTTCCAGTCTTTTGCTAGTGCATTTTTATCAAAATGAAAGTAATAAGTGATTCAATCAGTAAGAAATTTAAGGTGCTTAAACGATGAAGCCAATTTAAACCTAAATTCTTAACAATTCACAAGGGAAAGAATAGAATGTGCAACCATATAAACTACAATAAATAAAAACAAGCCAAAATACAGATAACATAAGCCACATAATCATTCCTTTTTGTTGGAAATGAATATGATAGTCGGACTTGAGAAGCACAACAGCATGGAGCTCTTTTTCTATTTTATCGTTCTAAGGTTAGCTTAAGTAAAGCTCTAAGATTATTAGACTATATAATGAAAATTAGACTGGATAGTGAGAAAGTGAGACAACAAAATGTAAATGTTTTGTTTATTTTGTTTGGATCTCAATCTGACAACTCAAAGGATTATTGCCTACTATCAGGGACCTTTCCTACAATAATTTCACCGGTGATCTTCCAAGTTCATTTGGTTCCTTGACAAACTTGGGTAGATTGTGAGTGTCTTCTTTCTTACACCCTCACTCTTGTTTCCCAAACTTAATTTGTATTTCATCTTATACTCAAGATAGGATTTTTCTTGTATAGGGTCGTGCTGGTTTGATCTGTAGCGTGGTGCTAATTTTCAGGTTCCTGCAGAATAACAGATTCACCGGATCAGTCGCCTACTTGGCTGAGCTTCCACTTATTGATCTGTAGGTTATCCTAAACATTTCTCATGTTGTATTGCTACAGTTCTATTTCTCGATAATTTGTCTGTTTTGTCAGGAATATTCAAGACAATCTGTTCAGCGGGATTCTACCACAGCATTTTCAGTCCATACCAAACTTGTGGTTAGTGATAAGTTTTGATCACCTTCTATTTCTTATCTAATATGAAAAAACGGACACATATCATCGGAATGTCTCATTTTTTCCTCAATTAGGATTGGAGCGAATAAGTTCCATGCCATAGACAACACTCCTCCATGGGCATTTCCTTTGGACAACGTACCTATTGAGGAAAATACTAGTCGCCCACCCATAACTCAGGCAAATGCCATCGAGAACTATGATCATCCTAAAGAAAAGAAACAAAAGAAGAAACGTATAGGTCCCGGAGGAATAGCTTTTATGGTTGGTGTAGGAACGTTATTGGCGACAGGTTTGGCGCTCCTTATTGCGATCGGTTTGAATAAACTTCAGACCCAGAGACTGGAGAACCAAGAAGGCAACCACAGTTCATTGCCTTCTTATCCAATCAATGCAACTAAAGGTAATTAATTATTAAACCGAGCCATTTGGAAGGCGAGGCACTCCTGGTCAAAAGCCAAAAACCATATGACTGAATATATCCTAATAAACACTAACATGATCTCAAAAGTTTCTAGTTCACTCCGCACGCAGATTTAACATTAAAATGACTTGAAACAGAAAGATGGGTAGAAAGGGAGAGTGAGTAAAAGTTACTCATATTAAACATGTATCCCGTTAAAATATATTGCCAAATTTCACTCAATTGCTTTGTCTTTCTGTTTCATAAGTTAGGATACCATTCCGTATATTAGTTCTGTAAATTCATTTCCGTCTTTGATCGTGCTTTTCTTTTTCTCTCCATTTTTAATGGTGATAGAGGTTTCTACTTCGGCAATAGATGAGAGCCTGCAAATCCCACCTTACAATGCTGCATCCCTTTTGGGTCCAAGGCGATTACAATCTTCCCAGAACCATAAAAGAACAGGGGAGACATCAAGAAAAAGTTTTTCCGGAAGAGACAGATTCACTGGAAGAACAAAAGTTTATACAGTAGCGGAGGTTCAGTTGGTCACAAACAGTTTCCATGAAGACAACCTTCTTGGAGAGGGGTCCCTTGGCCCTGTTTACAGAGCTGAATTTCCAGATAACAAGGTACCTTCAAAATAGTAGATCACGTTTAACAACTGTTGCTTTCAATTTATAATGCAGTTTCTTTTACTTCTTTTTAAAAGGTTTTAGCAGTGAAGAATATCAACATGGCGGGCATGTCTTTCAGTGAAGAGGAAAAGTTCTTAGATGTCGTTTGTACCGCTTCCCGACTGAAGCACCCTAACATTGTTTCACTAAAAGGCTACTGTTTGGAGCACGGACAACATCTTCTTGTCTACGACTATGTCAGAAATTTAACTCTAGATGATGCTCTTCATAGTGCAGCATACAAAGCTTTATCATGGGGCACCCGTATCCGTATTGCTCTAGGCGTTGGTCAGGCATTGGAGTAAGTTCCATGTTGCCACTCAAATTTATTTCTTGTTAAATGTGAAAGTAGAATTATGTTTCAACTCTCAACTCTGACATACACAAATGTTAACAGCTATTTGCACTCGACGTTCTCTCCTCCTGCCGCCCATGGCAACTTAAAGGCTGCCAATGTTTTACTGGACGAAAATCTTATGCCTCGTGTTACTGACTGTGGCTTGGCTATTTTGAGACCACTGACAAGCAATAAAGTCCAAATTCGGGTAAGATTTTGCAAGAATCAGCTTCATAGCTTAAAGATAGCTCATTGATAGACAGCAGTTACATTTGTTCAATGCTCAGAATTGCTTTTAGCTTTTTGATAATTTATCGTGACAACAACTGAAAAACGGACGTCCCATTATGAAGATAAGGTCGTGGTGTGTCCCTTGGTCTTGTTTATTAGGTAGAATAGTGTTTGCACCTTTTAGGTATAGCTAGAAGCTGCTTAAATTTAGGTAGTAATAGCTGAAAAATAAACAAGAACGTTGATACTATTTGAAGTAATGTCATGGACATAGTTTCACTGATTAATTTGTAACTGTCGATAACAGGCTTCTGAGATTGATATTAGAGATACAGGATACAGTTCACCAGATCATGGCCAACCAGGAATAGGAAGCACGAAGAGTGACGTCTTCGCCTTTGGAGTGTTACTTCTTGAACTATTAACAGGAAGAAAACCATTCGACGGGTATGTTTCTCTACAACCTTGTGCCATTTCATTGCTTCCTCTCCTTTGCCCCCTGTATGTGGAGCAAAAGGTTGTTGAATGATGGCCTCTGTTTCTCTTGCAACACAGTTTCAGGCAAAGGGAAGAGCAACATCTGGCAAAGTGGGCTTCATCAAATCTTCATGATAGCGACAGTTTGGAACAGATGGTGGATCCGGCAATCAAAAGGACATTTTCGTCGAAGGCTCTTTCTCGTTATGCAGATATCATCTCCCTCTGCATTCAGGTATTAGCATTTAGACAGTGAAGTTTTTATTCACTATTGCGATTTGTCATTTTGGTTCTTCAAATTATATTCACTATTTTTGGTTTCAATTATGAAACTTACATGTCTCTGGTGCAGCCTGTAAAGGAATTTCGACCTCCAATGTCTGAAATTGTGGACTCTCTTGTATCATTTACTCAAAATCTGGTTTCAAAGAACGATGCAACAGATGGTGCTGAACTTGATCCACTTGAGAGGTCCTTTCGCACAACCACCTCCCGCTTTATTGGTTCACCCGCAACGAGCTATGTATCCGCCTGATGTACTCACTCGCTGCATTTAACAGTGTAAACTAACTGGTTGCCATTAATGTGCTAGATATTTTAATTCGTTCGCGTTTTGCGAAAACTTAATGCATGAAATAGCTGGAATTTCACGTGTATAAAGAAAGGTTTCAGTCATTACCGAGCTTTTTTGGACCGTTGAAACCGTTTGCTTAATTAGTGTAATATACTAATATTAATGATGTGAATGTTTACTAAACACTATTGATCGGAAGCTTGGGTTCTTTCGGTCACAGCACGAAGAATTTATTTTGGGTTTTTGATGTAATTTTTATGAGCCTCTCAATTGGCACCTAGGATTTAAGAATTTTCTCTGCTTATTCTTGGATGGAAAAATTTAACTTTGAGTTTTTTTAATTTACTTTATGTGGGTTTCACAGTAGACCCATTTTCTTTCTTTTTGTACAAGAATTTGATTCTTGTGAGTTCCTATATAAGAAACAATTCTACATGTTAAATTCAAGTTACTCATTCCAATGGTGAAGAACAAAAAATATCTTAAAAAAAAAATAGTTCTTATCTTTAGAATCCTTATAGGAATCTCTCATTAAAGATTACTTTATATTAACATTATTTTTTCATAGTATTGAAAAATGATATTTCAAAATGAATAAACTAAAATTTGGTTTGATAAAATTTAGTACCGATGAATTAACTTTATTCAAAAACAAATTCTAGTATTTATCTTTTTCCTATCTAGTTAAAAGACAAATACTGGACCTATGTTAATATTATTTTTTTTAATAATATAAAAAAATGGTATTTAACAACATTTTGACTAAATGTTGAAAGATAATATTTGTTAAGTCAAAAGACATTTCTTAGGATATAAATGATAATAAATTTAAACATTTTTCAAGAGAATTTTTTTTCAAATCATGCTTTAAGACGAATAGTGATAGACAATTGGTTATTTTGATATTAACTCTCTTAAATGAATTTGTCTGTAAGGCAAAAACATTTAATATATATCATTTATCATTTTTGTCCATGTTGTTCCTTAATATATCAAAAAGAATAAAAAAAAACTTGTTTGGTACTCGTACTATAAATGGAATACAAACATATTTTGCATTAGAGAAATGACAAGAAAATTTCTTGAAATACGCAAAGTTTAAAAAGTTATTTCTTACTAATACACGCAACATCTCCTATCTTTTGGTACTAAAAATGTGATAAGTAGTTTCTTTGATCAAATAAGAAGTGAAAATTTGGTGAAACTCATTTATGAAGTTAGAAGAAAAACACATAGATGGGGGCTTGAATATGTATGTGTGAACAAAGGAATTTTAAAATCTTTTTGTAGGAAGTCTCCTTTTCGTCCAGTAAAAATAATATTAGTGAAAATTAAACTGGATCTTCCAAGGATTAGTTTAACAAAATACTTTTGCGTTTGTGATCTTATCGTCTACTTGTGAAAAATACTTCTTAAACAAAAACCTTTCTTTTTAGAATATCAAGTTGAACAGGTATGATTTTCGTCTGAATATAGTTTTAGTAAATGATAAGCATTAGACGAAGTTTTCAGTATATCAGATTCACCAAATAAAGTGTGTCTGAAAGCATTAGAGTATAGTGCAAATATTTTATACTGGTTCGCTCAAATTGAGCTACGTCTAGTCTCCTTCAAATGAAGGGTTTCACTAAATAGTCAATAAAGTACAATGATTATTTGTTCAGCCTCTTCAGGCTTGTAGTGAGTATTATAGACCACCCAGGTCACGACCACTCCTGGTTCCAAGTATTCTCAACCACTTCTGGCTCGTCAACTTCACTCGTAGATGCTAGTATTCTTAAACCACTTTTAGTAGCCCGAGTATTCTCAACCACTCCGAGTTCGTCAACTTCACTTGCTGACGCTAGTATTATTTACTCAGCCACTTTTGGCTCCTAGTGAGTATTATCAACCAACTCCTGGCCCGCCATCTTCACTCACTAGCCCTAATATTATTTGATCAGCCACTTCTGGCTCTTAGTGAGTATTCTCGACCAACTCCTAGCCCGTTGACTTCACTCATGAAAGCTAGTATTCTTTAATCAGCCACTTTTGGCTCACAATGAGTACTCTTTAACAAGCCTCTTCAGGCTTTACAAGTATTATTTCCCTAGCCTCTTCAGGCTTTACAAATATCAATTGAACAGGTTTACTTTAAGTGTATGGGTTACTCTCATAGAGAGGATACATAGGTTTCTACACTCACTAAGGTATGCAACCTTAGTCTTTACAAAGAATGAGTGTTTGGTTTACTCTCATGGAGAGGATACATAAATTGGTACACTCACTAAGGTTTTGTTCCTAAGATGTGCATGTTTGGAACACCTTAGTTTACAAAGATGAATACACTATTGGTACATTTGACTCTATACGCTCTATCTCTGGTTTCGTTGTTTTATGGGCTTGATATCACTTGGTTAAGAATGCAAAGCCAAAGGCCAGCCAATGAAGCCAACCTTTCATGGTTTAAGATAGTGATATATATTGTCTTGTAGAATCTGCCAATTGCAAGTGTCCATTGAAGCAGATATAGTTGTTCATGACTAGTTTGATCTCTCTGTTGAGCTTAGGAGAGCTTGAAGCTTAAAGGAGTTTTGATGATCACAACATGTGATGGAGGACCATCCAAGGAGGATGTACACTTGAAGGCCATTGGACCTTTGACTAGGTCCATGGTTAGGAAGCTAGATGAGGCTTCTAAAGAGGAGGTGCTTCTTAGACCTTTGCTCATCATGAGCATTGATTATGGTTCCTCTTATTAGTCCCTTAAGTTTCTATTGTATATACTTGTATAGTTGTCTTTTTGTACTTTGTATATAGTAGATACTTGTATAGGTGCATTTTTTCCTTTGTATTTGTAAGGCACTTTATTTTCCTTTCTAGTAGCTTTTGTATATGGTTTCTAGGGTAGGTTACTTGGACACTTTGACTCCATTTAACCTAACCTAGAAATACATTCCTTTTTAGTTTTTCTAGTAGGAGTGGCAATAGCAAAATAGAGAGTGTCCTTAGTAAGCTAGAGTGTGCTCCTAGCAATTTAGCCAAAGGTGGTCCTAGGCTAAAATTTACATATTGGACTCATTTTACTCCTAATTTTTCATAGATTTGATTTAGCTAGGTTCCATTCACATTGGATGAACCTAACTAAACCAAATTAACAATTTCAAAACCGGTTGGAGTAAATTAATTCCAAAGAGCCGCCCACCTAGATGTGTTCACACTTGTGTTCACACTTGGCCAAATTGCTTGGTTCTTCTCAAGCTTGGAAGCTTGAAGCACAAGCTTCTCCTTAGCTTGCTTACTAAGCAAGCTAAGTGAGTAGCTTGCTCTCCAAGCCTCTAGACCATGGATGGTTAGCTAGACCTTACCATGGTTCCTAGTGAACCATGGTTAAGACTAGCTTACTCTCCAAGCTTCCTACTCCTATATTTTCGTTTTTCCTACCTTGTAAAACACTTTTGAGATAATTGAGATTGTATTTTCTGAATAGAGTTCAGATTTCTCTCTTCCAAAAGTCCCTAAACCTCTTTGAGTGCATCCAATTCTCTTATCCCTTCATAGAAGAGTGTGGTGAGAATTGAAGGGGCTTATCTCTTCTCCAAGGAGTGGCGCCTCTTGGGAGTGTTCCTCCACCAACCGTGGTGGCCTTAAGGCTTCCTCCTCCATAGGAAGCCTTAACCAAGCATAGAAAGAATCAAGGAGTTCAAGGTTTAGGGAGGAGCTTGAAGGGAACTCACATCAATCCGGGTTTCACATCAAGTCTTTCCATCAACATGTGTGTACAACAACAACTTATGATCACAATGTGTGTGTACAACAATAACTTGGAAGCACAAAAACAAAGTTAAAGAAAATGTCAAAGAAAATGCTATGTAATAAGAATTAGTGTATAAATTGTTTAGTTTGATGTGTATGCTGTGTGCATGAGCAAAATCTATATCTAAGCTAAATAGAGAGTGTATGATGATGAGTTAAAAAGATTGGAAAAGTTATTTTGAGGCTTAAAATGAAGTTTTGAAAACTAACTCAAAATAATCGATTATCGTTAAATATAATCGATTATTCCAGCAACAGGCAAAATGGGATGCCTTGCTGCAATAATCGATTATTTGCCAAAATAATCGATTATCCCAGAAATGACTCTATGGAATAATCGATTATCCAGCAAAATAATCGATTATATTGTTCTTGGTTGGTTTCCAGAAAACCTGAAGAACAAAATAATCGATTATTCTTTAAAATAATCGATTATCTGGGTCTGAGACTTTTATAAATAGTTTGAACTTTTAGAAACTTCAGACATGAGTTAGAACTGATAATCAAATTGAGAAAAGCGTTTTTGTGGAGTCTTTGTGACTATCTTGGAGAGTTTTCTTTGTGAAATCCAAGAGTAAAAACGTTTGTGAAAAACTTTGTTAGAGGATCATCATCATCATCATATTCTTGAAAGGGGAAGATTAAGATTTGCTTCTGAATTCGAGGTGAATTCGTTCCTTTATTCTGTATGAATACTTGTAAATCTTGAGAAGGGTTTCTCAAGTGGTAAGGTTTCTTGTAGTGGGTTTCTACAAGGGGTGCTTTCTTGGGGTCAAGAAAGTGGTTATCTTTTGTGTTGAAGTATATACATGTGTGTGCTTGTAAACCTTCTTCCTTGAGGTAGTGGAACAAAATCTTGATCAGGTGCTGATTGAGGACTGGATGTAGGTCACATGTGGAGTGGCTGAACCAGTATAAAAGACTTGTGCAATCTTCTTCTACCTTATCTTTTACTTTGAGTAATTTCTTGGTTGAACATTAAAGAAGATAATTCTTGATTAACATGTGTGTATGAATATTGATGGTTTAATCAGAATTAGAGCATTGCATTTCAACCTCATTGTTTTGTAATCAAGAAAGCATATTGCATTCATACTTTCATAACAAGTCTTTAAAGAAGCTTCATTTGAAAATTCGGTCTTAGAAAAGTTTAAGTGAAATAAAGA